TCTATCTATCTTTCTATCTCTATCTCTCTCTATCTCTACCTCTCTCGCTCGCTCGCTCGCTCGCTCTCTCACACATACACACACACACGCACACACACACACACACATACACACACACACACATACACAGGGCGAGGGCCCGCCCCCACACACACACATACGCACACACACACACACATACACACACACACACAAACGCCCACACACACACACATACGCACACACACACACACATACACACATACACGCACGCACGTTGTAGGGCTAAACCTCGTTAGACTTTCGAGCCTGTGTCGACCTTGTGCGGGTCCCAGTTGTGTCGGCCCGCCCACGCTTATGCTCAGGGCGAGGGCCATTCGTCACGGGGTCACCCCCACCTGGTGCTTTGAGGTGGATGGGGGTGGGCCATCGAGTGAGAGAGCTTTAACATTGGGGGTATAGCTCAGTCCTCTCGTCGGGTGGTAGTCTCGCTGATCTTCCCACAAGCGCAGTTCTTTTTCAGATTTTTGGTTGTGTTCGCAGGCAAATGCTCCTTACAATACTCGAGCACTCCAGGGGGTACCTTGACAAATTTTCTTCTTTCGTGCGTAGGCTAAGTGTCATCTTTAGGCCATGCACATTTTCCCTAACTTAGTAACCCTATGGCTTCATCGGGACGCGGCGGCGCCGTCCTCCCCCTTTGCCTCTGTGCATTCCCTTTTTTTATGATCCACATATCCCATCTGAAGTCTTGCTGCCCGCCCTTAGTCTTTTCGGGCCCCCATCCAAAGTCCTGTTGCCCGCCCTAAGTCTTTTCGGGCCCCAATCCGCATACAAAGGCTACTTCACATTTCAATCAATCAAAACTTCATCCTTCACTCAGTCCACACTCAAAGCTCTCATGCACGAAGGTCATTCTCATATAGAGTTTACAATAAGGCACCATAGTCTTTTGCTCATCCAGTCTTCTCCCCTTTGCTGGCACATCCTTGGCCCAATCCCGCTCAAGTCATCCCAAGGCTACTCACTTGCACAATCAAACATAAGTACAAAGGCCAACACAATCCCCCACTTGAGGTCAACACAAAGCCCTTCCCACATGCCTAAGCTTTCTTTCTTTACCCTTTGCTTCCTTCCCATTCCTTTTACTTCACTCATTCAATCCATCCTCTTCACATAGTCATGCAGTCCGGGTTCTGGTTGAGTCAACTGACCTCTCTCTTAATCAAAAGTCTCTTCCTCTAGTCCTCTCTGGACTAGTCCAGTTTACGATTTCTTAGCATGTCTGCGCTCACCGCTCTAAAGTATCTCCTTTCTTTTCTTTTTTGGTGGCACAAGGGATCGACAGTCCTTCCCTTGCCCTCTTTCTCCACCAAGTGAGGTCAACTTTCTTTAACTGTCCGTCCCTTGGCAATATAACAAGTGAGGGGGGGAGGTTAGTTGCATTCCAAGTGAGAAGAGAAAATAAGTTATAGACTTAGGTTACGGGAGGGGTGGAGGAAAGTGGACCAGAGGACGAATTAGAGGAACGGGGGGGGGGGGGGGGGGG